TGAGGATAGGTGTGATAGTGACTATAGATAGATTGTGACTATATAGGATAGATTTTAATAATAAAGTGTTTTAAATATTCAACTGGTGTGACTATATAGTAGAATGTGACTATAACGGGAGTGACTATAGAGGGAGTTGACTGTATATATAAGTAAAATTACGTGTCTAAATCTCTTTAAAATTCTATAATTAGTTTTTCTAAAATTTTTACTATATTTGGATAAATTAGAGATGAAATTTGAAATTGAATAATAAATATAAAAAATTTTAGTATAGAAAAAGAAAGTTGTAACTTGTAAAGTAAATCTTTTCTTTTTTTAATGCTCATATCACTGGTAAAAAAATGATTTATCCTACACATATCTTACACATATTGGGTACTCAAAATGTAGAAAATCATACACAAATAATACACATATCATACATATATCGGGTACTAATATATATATCATACATATATCAGGTACCTGATAGGTATACTATATATATAAGTACCCGATATGTGTATGATATGTGTATTATTTGTGTATGATTTTCTACATTTTGAGTACCCAATATATGTAAGATATGTGTAGGATATGTGTAGGATAGACCATTTTTTTACCAGTGTATGACACACATAAAAAAACTGAACACATTTCATAATAAATAATTTTAGTTTAATATTTATAATAAGTTTTGTCAAATTTTATTTTTTCTAAAGTTTTACTAATTTTTAATCAAACTTTTATATAGTTTTAGCAAAGTTTTACTATTTTAATATTTCATTAATTTGCCAAAACTCTATATAAAATTAGCTAAATTTAAACTAAAAATATGCAAACTAATTTTTATATATAAAAATTTTAATAAAAATATGTAATTTTGATGATCTAATTATAAATGAAAAATTCTTAAGGGGCGTGCCAGAAATCACGTAATTTTGAGGGTGGGTGGGTGGGTTGGCCTTTTAATCACGTCGATATAATCACGTGACATACATAATAATGTAATTTTATTGGTCAATTTCTTATATATACCATCAGTATATTTTTATGCCACAGATCCTTAAAAATCCTTATTCCGATTTTGAAATTTTATAGATTAATGTTATAAATAATAATATAATAATAATAATAATATATAATTCATATTTTTTTTATTTATTTATTCTATTTATTTTTATTTTAATATTTATTTCGTATATATTTATTATTTAATAATGTATTATAAAGTTATTTATTAATAAACATATTTTAAAAATTTAATATGAAGTGTCTCTTTCCGAAACTATTAAACTATAAAAAAATACGAAAAATTAAATCAAAATTATTAATCTAAAATAAAAAAATCTTTTTTTTTTTCATTACAAAATTAGTGATCGTCAGTTACTGCGCCACCCGAAATGATAATAATTCGTATTCATAAAACTGCGGTGTGATTTACATAGAACAATTCTCATTTAAGTTTACCAATCATATGTTAAAATTAAAAATAATCATCCGCCGATCTGTTCATCAGGTTAGCACAACGCATAATGACATAATAAATTTTTTTTTTATTTCATACAAGAACAACGAACTGTTCAATTATTACAAACTTTAATTATTACAAACTATTATTCTCTATCTGACTGAACTTCACGAACATCCTGTTCAATTTCTTGCCATGGGTTTCTTTGAATAATATCCTCAGCAACATTAAAGTTTAATGGAATAACTACACATTCCATTTCCGTTTCGTTAGCTGTTCGTTTTGAATTTCTTTTTTGTTGAGTACGGCGTTTATTATAATGTGAGTGTATATTGCGCTTATGTTCTTTTATAAACTTGAGAGTCGGAAAATATTTGCCGCATATATCACAACACAAACGCTGATGTAATTCTTGTGGAATTGATGGACAACAACGATCATATTCAAGGATTTTAAGTTTATCATGATATTGAAGTGCATGAATTGGATTAATAAAATGTCCATCTTTTCCTTTGGTAGTTGGAGAAAGAAATCCATTGTTTTCATCTAAAAGTTTTGCTGCATCTGGAGCTCTGTATTCACTACAACACTCTCGGTTCTTACATTTTTTTATATCCAGTGAATAGCGGCAAAGTTGTGTATGTTCCTCTATCCATTCCCATGATATTGAAGGTTCAGGTTCATCAAACGGATTTCTCTCCTGATCAACATACTCTACCGTAACAGGTTTTCCATGTATATCATCTCGTTTCCATATATCGCATAATTTATTTCCTGAATATTCAAAATTTCGTCTTGCTAACTCTTCATCTATAACATTTCCTTGACTATTTAAATGTGACCCAAATTCCTCTATAGGTAAAGTAATACCAGCGAGTTTTTCAGATAAAGAAGCCATGCTTCGCTCTACTGGATTATATGCACTTTGACCTGGGGCATGAGTACGAACAGTTAGGTAATCTAAATCAAGAGAACGAAAAAGGTGAGCATATTGAATAATGTTTTTCATATGTTTTGGATTCTCGTCAGGTCCACCATCAACAAGAAGAACCCAAATTGGTCTAACTTTATCTTCTTTTTTTAGAGTATTAGAAAAATTTTCATTTTTAATAATACTTTCTAAATCCGCGATGTGAGTTGCTGATGATGTTCCAATAAAATATTCTGGCCTAATGAATATGAAAAGTTGACCAGTTCGAAGTGTATTACTTGAATCAGCTGGATTAATAACTAAATAAACGGAAGGTATGAGTTTCATTTTTGATCCTGTTGGAAAATCATGATCTTCAACAGTTACGGGTTCATTAACAGATTGGATTGTTTTAAATGTACGGCCAACTGCAGGTATACCCAACCCAATCTTTGCTTTATCGTCTTGAGAGATGATAATTGACTCATCTGCAAATACTTCGGCAAATATTTTTGCTGCTTTAACAGACGCTAAACAGTAGTGTTCATCAACATGTGATTTCATATCTGTTCGTGCTACAGAGGCAAGACCAACTTTTGCTGGATGATGATGACGACGTGCGGCAAAAGTATTTTGATGGCGAGGTTGAAGATAAGTGGATAAGCATTGGCGGGATAAGTAAGTATTATATTTTTCTTCTAAAGTTTCGCGTAAATGCTTTATTGTTCTTACTTTAATAACCACTTTTCTTCGTTTAGCATGGGCAGCTCCGAATTCAACACTATCATGGATCTTATCCCATAATTCTGGATCTTTCATAGCTGCAGATGGTCTTCCCGGAGTATTATATTGTTCAACAACTCCTTCTTCTATTAATTTTTTTTTTTTTGTTCTTAATTTTGATTGAGCTTCAGCATGTCGTTTCAATTTACTTAATAATACACGTTGTTCTGATAGAGTATGTTCTTCTTCAATTATTTTAGTTTTTAACGTAACTTTTAATGATTCATCTGTGGTAATTTCTACCATTTGTTGACATTCTGATATATTCTTTATGGCTGAATTAATTTTATTAGCCACATTTTGTTGTGATCTAGCATTAGTTTGTATTGTTGTAGTATCAATAAACTCATTAACAATCGGTCTTGGAGTAGTAATATGTTGCGGAATAGAAGTGTGTTTTGGAGGAGTAGGAGTAGAAGTAGAAGTAGAAGCAGTAGGAGTACGAGGAGTACGATGTGATAAAAAAAAATTTTGATGAGAATGAATAGTAGGAGGTATAGTGTTATAATATTCATTAATTTTATTTTCAATAAAAGAAGTATTCTGTTCTCTAACTTCTTTCCAAGCAGTTATACATTCTTGCATTAATTTTTGACGATTTGGTTTTGAATTACATAGTACTGCTTGTTTATAATACGCATATGCATTACAAAATTCTTGATATTTATCTTGGGGTTCATTATAAAAGAAGGTTTTATTAAATTTTGGCAGTTTTAAAAAACTTTGCATTTTTCAAAGAAAAAAAATGATAATCAAATCGGATAAAAATTTTTTATAATTTATTTAATTAAGACAATCGGTTTCATTTTACAATTGTCCACAATTTTTTTTTTAGCCAATCAAATTTCTAATTAATCAAATGATCACCTGGGGGGTAGGGGGGGTCAGGTCTCTAATTGAGCGAAATCAGGTGATTTCTGGCACGCCCCTAAATTATATGCAAATTAAAACTTTATTTTGTCTAATTCTACTATCCCTTAAACTGTAGGTAAGGATGGGTCCGCAAATAATTTCCAAAATCTGCAATATTGCGGATTTTGGAGTTGAATTGCGGTTAGTAACCCGCAATTCCGCAATTCTGATTGGCTGATAATTAAAAATTTTTCTAATGTCTTTAATGATAATTTAATAAAAAACAACTGGTTTTATAAATGTAAATTTAATCAAAAAAAAATTTTTTAATAAATTTATTTATTTATTATTTATTAGAAACAATAAAACCATAATCTCTGAAATGGCGCAACTGCGCCAAAAACTAAATCAAACAACAGACAACAATGACGAACTTGAGGGATACTACTAATCAAAGTTCTGGACCGAATCTACAAAAAAAAGTAGTGAAATAACGTTAATAAACGTTCTTACATAAAAAAAATAAAAAAAAACCGCTTCCCCCCTTTAAAATACTCACCGGTCTCCATTTCCAAGTTCCAGGCCGGAATCTACAAAAAAAAAGTAAAAGAACGTTAATAAACGTTCTTACATAAAAAAAAACAAAAAAATACTTTAGAGACACTTACCCGTCTCCATTTCCAAGTTCCAGGCCGGAATTTACAAAGAAAAAGAACGATGTATTTTAAAATTGCGCAACGCAATTCAGTTGTCCGGATAAAAAAAGATTATCAGATGATTTGTACTACTGTCCAATAATCTAATCTGGATCATTAATAACCGTCAAATTAACCGGCCGATAAAAAATAAAATGTCCTTTTTAAAAGATTTTATTAATGAAAAACCGATTTTTTTTTATTTTTAGTAATAAGAAGAAATCGGTTTCTTTATTAGTTAATTAAAAAAATTACATATATTTTAAAAAATTATTCTTTTTTTTGCGGGCAATCTGCAAATCCGCAAATAATTCGCAATTCCGCAAATAATCCGCAATTCCGTAATTAATTGCAGAATTACGGATCATTTGCGGAATTGCGGAAAAATTGCGGATTTGCGGCTAATTACGGATTGTGGATTTGCGGATATTTGGACTTCTGAAATCCGCAAATCCGCAATATTGCGGATCCGCAATGTTCCGCAATTGCCCAATTACGGCACCATCCTTAACTGTAGGGCTAAATTTAATTTTAAAAATTTTTTAATTTTTAAAATATCTTAAGATCTAGTGATCATAGAAAGATGAAATTATATTTGTTAGATTCCTCTTATTAAAGCGCATTTAATGGTAATAAAATCATAACTCTAAAATTGATAAATAAAAAGTTATATTAATTTATAAATTTTTAGATTTTATAAGTTATCCTGTTACATAATATTTGTAGAAGGACAATTTTATTTCTATTAGATTCTTCTCATTAAAATGCATCAAATGGTGGTAATTTTATATTTTTAGGGTTAATGGATAAATAAATATTTCAATTTAAAAAATTTAGCTACTATTTATTATAATTTGTCTATCATTTACTTTTAAAAAATCATTAATTAAATTGAATTTTTTTTCAATTTTTTACTTAGAAAATACTATAGAATTTATTACAAAAATATTGGTTTATGTAATAAAATATTTAAGATATTTAAAGTGTCTTTAATTAAAAAACAAAATTGTAGGCAAATTTGGTTGCAAAATAGTTTAAGGGATAATAGTAATGCATTTATATACCTTACTTTGTATATATATTTTTGAGTCCCTTTGCTGAAACTTGGAGTTTACAATCGATATTGATTAGATATCGCAATGATATCATTACGATATCATTACGATATTTTGATAAAAAATAGATTCGACATCGTTAAGTTAGTCGTAACTGTATTTATTCGATATTGATTAGTTCGATATCTCTGCGATATCGCTGCGATCATTATGCGATGTAAATATTATCACGTAACCACATCGTAGTGATGTCGTATTAACATTGAATTAATATTACAAAAATATTTGACATTTATTTGATATCGTAACCACATCGNTACTAACAATACTATCTACGTTTCCTTTATTTCTTTTTACTTGTACTTTAATACTAACGATAATATCCATGTTTCTTTTACTCCTTTTACTGTTTCTTTAACTCTTTTTACCTTAATACTAACAATAATAACAATATTTCTTTTATCTTTATATCTAATACTAACGTTACTATAGCTGTTTCTCTTCTTTTTACGTCTAATAATATTGTTACTCTACTCTTTCTTTTTTTTACTTTTATGTATTCTGTATATATTAATAAATACTTGTAATTTTTTATGATTATATCTAATAAAACATACATTATATAAACTTATAGTACAGAAAATGAAGTATTATTTATCGAAATATTTTGAAATATTACGAAATATTAAGTTGTGTAAAATCACAGAATATTACGAATCGTCAAATTATGGAACATTACGCATCATAGAATTTCGAAATATTTTAAAAAGTTGCGAAGTATTACGCAGTAAAATTACGGAATATTACGAATCGTAAAATTACGAAGCCTTGCATACAGTAATATTTCGAAATATTTTAAAAAGTAACAAAATATTACGCTTACGCAAACTTGCGGAGGGTCTGGAAGCTTACAAAATATTATGATGTGTAAACTTGCGCAACTTTTCGCACTATATAATTTCCTGATGAACATGTATAGGTATATTTGTGAATTCTCCTAGAAGTCCTGTAAAATTTGGATCTATAAGGATATCATGCTGCACCATAATAATTTTTACAATTAGTTTTCTTAAACATTCAATTAAAAGTATAAGATGTGTATTATTAAGAAAATTTTCATAAAACCTGTGATATTGTCTATTTCTCTGGTTAAAATGGAAATAGAAACTTTTTGATTCATTTTTTCATTAATTCTTTTTCTAGCATTTAGAATATGATGATCTCGTGACAGTTCAGGTTGAAGTGCAGCTAGATTTTTATAAGCATCATAGGAAATTAGCCCTTAATCAACAACTTTTGTAAATGCATCAACAAGTTGATTTTCTTTTTCTTCATCTTTATTATAATAATTAATTAAATAATTTCTATCTTAAATGTTAAATCAGATTTCTTATCTTTAAAATCTTTATTTATTTATATAAAAAATGCACAAGATTAATTAGTTTTAACGTATCAAATGGTTTAAAAGAAATGAGATCATTTTTTTCTTTCACATTCTTATTCTATTAAAGTCAAATACATGTATTCCAGAGTTTTGCATAAGTGTTAGGATTTTTCTCTATATTAAACAATTATTTTAATTAGAATAATAATTTATAAATAAAATTGTAAAAGTTTTATTTACAAAAGTATACCAATTTGCAAGTAATTATTAGCAACTTTTATTAGAGATTCTTTTAATTCTACTAAATATTGACTAAAAACTAGTTCATTTGATTCATATTCAATTCACATTTTTCAACTTTCTTAATGTGAATTTATATTGAGATGTTATGTTTTATTTATACATTATATAAGCTGATTTATGGAATTAAGTTTTTATATTCAAAAAACTAATTTTATTAAGCAAATGGAAATACAAGTTACATGTAAATGATAGATTCACACCAGCTGATATAAATAAAATTGATTTAATTATATTATTTTTTGATTTTTTTTAATAATATCATTAAAATTAAAAAATTTAAATATAATTGTCATGACAAAATATTGAATAACTTAACGTGTATGTGTGCTAGATGAATGAATTTATATTCATTAGAAAGAGGTAATCAAGTGCTATCCATAAACCAAATATCGCATGAATTGAATCACAAGTTGCTGAATAATTATGTTCAATATATTTATTTTTAACTTTTGACTTTGATCGTTAATATCTTCACATTTAGTAATTTGATCTGAATGATATTTTTTCGTTCAGGTAGAGTAGGTACTGGGCTTTCATATGAATATGAATATATGTGTTTAGCATGCATGTACGCCAAGATATTAACAATGATACAAAAATTTTTAAAATTATAATTCTTACCAAAAGATGATCTTTACAGGTATTATTGAGTTCTTTTTACTTTACTTAGCAAGGTTTTATTTGCTATTTCTGTTTTAAATTGAATAAATTAATAAAATCAATTTTAAAAAGTAATTAACAAGTAGAATAAAATCGTATAGTAAAAAATAAAAAAAAAACATCTCAAAAACTCTAAATCATAACTCACATTTTTATTTTATATATATTTTTACTAAAAAAAAGAAGGAACTAAGGTTAAAAATAAATGAAAAAAGATTTTTCTTATTAATATAAATTATTAATATTTGTTTTCTTACTTACTGATTAAAAAAACCTGCTATATATGCCTATAAACTTTTCTAAGTCACTTAACAAAAATCTGATTGAAAAGTGATTGAAAAGAAAGTAGTTGCCATTGTTATTTTTAAATAAATGTTAAAAATTTTTTTTTATTTTTTGATAGATTTAGATCATTTGATTATGTAACACATATAATTTAAGCTTGTGAAACATAATTCTTATTAAAATGTGTAAATCTTTATGAAAATCTTAATTTTGGCTAATTCCACAAATTGGCGAATATGTATTATCATTATTTCATTTTTATTTAATAAAATTATTTATACAAATTTTTTGATATTGTATAAAGAAATAGTGTGAAGAAAAAAATTAGACAAAAAAATTGATAATTTACCTTTCTGGCTGATAAAAAAATACAACAAAGATTTCTCATAAATAAAATGAATTATATGTTTGAAGATTGGAAGAATAAAACCATAAGATAAGATTTTAAAGATAAAAAATGACAAAATATTTTAAATAATATTTGAAGATAATAATGTATCTTGCAAAATTATTCTTAATTTTTTATACCATTTTTTCTAATAAAGAGATTTCATCTTTATTTTATTAATTATCCAAATATACTAAAAGGCTGCTAATAAAGATAAACTAATTGTTTTTTCAAGTAAAAGGACTGAAAAATCTAAAAAAAAATAAAATTAAAAATAAAATTAAAAAAAAATCAAAAAAAAAAGACTTCTTTAAAGCAAAATAAACTAAAAATAATAATAAAACTAGCAAAGAAAGAAGAAGTAAAAGTAGGAATAAAGAAACTTACACTGGTCAGAATAGTCCATTTCGTCCAAATTTCAAATTGACGAATGTTGGACGAAAGTTGATCTAACTTTGGCCGATCGTTGCCAAAAAAATCGGCAAAATTATTATGGACGATTTGCACAGTTCGCCTGCCACTTGGCAATCACAAATCGGCAAAAATTCGTTATTATCGGCAAAATTCGGAAATAAAACTATTTGTCAAACTTTTAGTTATAAAATGTACACAAATCGATCTCGAAACACATTTACGAAAGATTACTAATTTATTTCTTTTGAAATGCCAGATTTAGTTTATTCATAATAATAATAACCGATTTTATTCAATAATAAATCAAAACAATTAATTATATATTTATTTTAATAAAATTTATTAAATTTATTACCAAAAAGCAGTCAATAATAAGAAATTAATATTTCGCAATAAATCTATCATTTTATGATAAAATGAATCAATCATTATGTTCAGTTTGAGTATTATCATCAGTTTGTGACTGCGATTCATGATTTTCAGCCGGAGTATCAGGACCAGAAAAATCTGTATCGACGGGCATATTTTGAGTTTTGTATGCCTATTCCGAAGCATTTTTAGGGTGTCGTGAGGTGATACAATAGCTTTCGTCATCATAGTTTCTCCCTCTCGTTAATTGCGCCGTCTGTAGATAAAATACGTGAGTATCCAAGACGTTTCAGAGAAAATTGATAAGTTGTAAAGTCATAAAGTCATTAAAACAAATAAAATTAGTTGATGTTTTTAATAAAATACGATAAAAAAAGATTATTATACCTCATCGGAACGCCAACTAAGGTTATAAACGATAATTTTTCTTTTACCATCCGGTTGTTCTTTATCCGTTTCTGAGTCTTCAGGTGAATGGTAGCGAGTATCTTTCAGAATGTTTAGGACCTCTGTCTTACTGGATCTTAAAAAGAAAAATAGCACCCTTGACTCTACACGATTTTTTCTGAAATATAACGAATGTTTAGTATCAATTTCAAAATGACAGTAAAAAAACAGATTCTACCTCGCTCAATCTGTTGTTTTTATGCAGTCTTCTATTATCTTTATCAATTACACCTCGCTCAACATATAAAAGTCGTGCTCTACGATGCTTGTGTAAGGCAGCTAACCAATCGTTTATCTGCTTATACGAAGGACTAAATCAAGGCTTCATGGAAGCAATTAATCGTGGTATTAATTGTCATAAAATGTCCGCGTTCGTCTCGTTTGTAAATTTTTTGTCGTATCTTAACGTTAATTCGGAAGGCATCATTTTTAATATTACCTTCATTTCAGTCTATAATAATTTATAAAAGATTCGTAAGAAGGATATTCAAATCGTGTAAAATGCAAAATCTGTCGATCTCTAACGAACTCTAGCATTTTCTTCGTCAGTTTCAGAATCATCGTCTGATTGATCAATTTGACGTCTCACAACTTTTCTTTTTTTGCCAGGTCTATTATCGTTGTCGTTACTTTCACTTTCCAACGATTTGACATCGGCATCATCTTGGCTCGATATTTGTGATTTGAGATAATTAATCTCGGCTCGAAGAACTTCATTTTCGTGATTGATATACTTATTATGGGAATGTAATTTGATATAATCTTGCCGAAGTTCATTTAATTCGCCTTTAATTTTTTTTAACTCTCTATAGACCTAGCACATTCTGCCTTGTAAATAAGCATGCTTGTTACGGAGCTGACTATGTTCTAAATAACGTAAAATATTTGATAAAAATTCGTTAAGTACATTAAAATGTGTCACAGTTCATTACCTCTCTTCAACTTTTCATAATCACTATTATTGTATCTATACGCCAATGATTCTGATGGTTCAACGGAACTCGAAGAAAAATCATATGGTAAAAACGCTCGTGATAAGGAATCCCTGTGCGGCATTTGAGATAAAGACAATTTTCGTGATTTAATAGTTCTGGTATGTTCAAAAGAACTTTTTGGAAAATGCGCACTGGCCATTTCTTTATCGGTATGGGATTCTTCCAGATCTCGACTTGTTTTTGACTTTTGACGAGATTCCATTAGAACTTGACTTATATCAAGGACAAATGGATCTCAATAATTTTTTTGGTAAACTTGGCCGGTAGCAGGAGTAGTTGACGTTTGTCCACGAGCCACTTTGACAATTTCTACTTCATCAGACAGTTCGTCTCTATTTGCTGCGGATTTTTTGTATTGATTCGTTTCTGTATTAATAAATTTTTTTGATATAGTAAGTACACCTTTGAATAACGGAATGGAATAACGCAAAACAATCAATATATCGACTTTTTTTGGGGGTAGAAGTTTGTCCGATATTAGGAGTAGTTGAAGTTTGTCCACGATCCACTTCGACGATTTCTTTATCGGATGGTTTATTTTTTGCTGCGGATTTTTCGTATTGATTCGTTTCTGTATTAATAAATTTTTTTTGATATAGTAAGTATAAATGATACATCTTTGAATAATAGAACGGAATAACGCAAAACAATCAATATATCGACTTTTTTTGGGAGTAGAAGTTTGTCCGGTATTAGGAGTAGTTGAAGTTTGTCCGGTACTAGGAGTAGTTGAAGTTTGTCCGGTATTAGGAGTAGTTGAAATTCGGTTCTGGTTCACTTTCTTAGATGTTTTGTGAAGTTTTCTTTTATTTGACGATTTTTTCTTATTTCGGCTCATTTCTATATATCAATAAATTTTCTTACGGTTAAAATAGGAAATTGCAAATCAAAAGTAATTATATATCATATGGTCGAAAGTTACAAATTACCAGTTATTATGAAAATGAAATAAAATTATCTTAAATTTCAATAATTTCAATGAGATGAGAAGAAAAGAGAAAGAGAACGTACGAGTTAATGATCAGACGAGTTTTTATAGAATTTATAAGTTTATTATTAAGCTTTTGACAAACTTTCACAAGCTGATTTGATAAATAAAAGTTTATTTATCATGTCTTCTGAACCGAAATGATCATCGATTTTAATTTTTCAACAAAAATGATTTATCAAGTATAATATACTTTTGCAAATTTTAGCCGATTTAATTTATCGAATTGATATCAAAATATTCGATTTAGTACGACCGCAGTTAAATTAATTAATTAATCGAATTGACGTTAAATTTTTACAAATTGTAGTAAAGTTTTAAACGATTATTTGATTTATTGAAGCGATTAACTTCAAAACTCGTCAATTGAAAATGACAAGAAGGAGATCGGTTTCAAGCATTCTTGGCAATCAAAAAAAAAAAATGAACGTAGACGTTCGTTCCAAAAACCTCGCAAAAGGAAGAAAGTTCCTTGTTATTGCAATAATTGTAATGGAAAATTGGTATTGGAACGAACAAAGCTTCTACATGAGACAGGAGGCGAAATGAATGATTCGAATGACGACGAATCAAGTGAGGATGAAGCTCTTTCAATAATGCAAGAAACTAGTGAACAAGACATTACCAAAAATATTGAATTACCTCAAGTAAATGTTGACGTTCATCAGACTTCGACATTAGGGTCAGATTTTGGGGATACACCAAAAGTCAAAGGTTACAAATACCCGGGGACATAGATGTTAATTGTTCTTTTTTACCTCGGAGGCGCGTAAAATATACAAGCCATCCTATGCCTCAATTAACAAGTTTGAATATCGAATCAGACGTATATAATACTAGCGAACAAAACACTGAAATGTCTTTGGGTAGCGAATCAAATAATGAATCTTACAACGAAATTTTTGAAGATTATTCACCTCCGTATCAAGCCAACATGGATGCCAAAAAAAATCCGATCGATGATAATTTTTCATGGATTTTATTGTGGATAATGAACTACCGTATAACATACAATATCCCAGAAACGGCAACCGAATCTTTAATAAAGTTCATGAAAATAGTTCTAAACGAAATCGGTGGTGAAAATTTTAGAACTTTTCCAGATTCTCTTTACCTAGCGAAAAAAGTACTTGGCCTAAAAGACCGATTTCAGAGATTTATTCCATGTACAAAATGCCACAAACTCTATAATAAACAGGATGTAGAAAACTTTCGTCAAGAGGCATCATAATTCATCATTGATTCAAGCTCAGATAGCCTATACTCATGGGCCGTGATAGTATCATTCATCCATGAGACAGTTTCCTCTAGAGTATGGAGGGTGTCAGCGATCTCTTTGATCTGCGCCTTTAAATCATCAATAATATGTTGGGGAAGTGTAAAGGCAGGATTGTCAGAGGGAGGAGTAGGCGGTGTAGAACTAATAGGATGAGGTTTGTGTGGAGGTTGAGTAGAACCGGAAGAATTTTCATTGTTCCTGAGATTATTATTATTATTGTTGGTCCGGTTGCTACTTCGAGAAGCATTAGGACGAGAAGTGTTAGTATTATTGTTACTGTTGTTGGAACGGGATGAAGAGAAATTATTATTGCGGGATCTAGAATTGGATCGCGATCTTGAACGGGAAATGGAATTATCACGTGATTGGCGCGAATCCTGACGACCACGTCTAGGGCCAGCATTGAAGCGAGAATAAAGTTTGTTAAGGCTATCATCCACTTTCCGTGTGGAACGAGGATTACATACAGAGGGAGAACAACCAGGACGTCCACAAACATGGCATGAAGTTTGTGCTTCATTGGGAGGGTGCCATGTTAATCCTTTATCGCGGAAAGCCACGGTCATTTCTTTGGCAGCTTCAAGAGATTCAAATGAGAAGAAATTCAAATATACATAGGGTTCAGGCTGATAGATAGGGGAACGTTGAGGGCCTTAGCGTTAACTTGAGTAGCAATTTCTAACAGATCAGCTTCTTTAATATTCTTTGGAATGCCGGCAAGGATAGCAACATGTTCTCTGCGGCTATCGCGTTGGGATTTCAAAAAAGATGCCGGGCAGACACGTAAAGAATTACCAAGGCAAATGATTGCCCAAATATCATTAAATTGGGTAACTGCATCCGCAGAGGAAAACTGGATATGTCCATTATAGTAATGTTTCCTAGGAGTAAGTTTGCACTTGATTACAGTGCCATATCGGGAGAATGCCTGACGGACTTGAGTCTCGGTTAGGAAAAGTGGGATATCAGTGACGAATAAGGACTTCATTTTGTCACTGAGTTTGGCGTCTGCAGGGGAGTAATGACTGAAGGCCAAATCGAGGAGATCGGCACGTGGGGAGGCGACACAATCGGTATAATCATCATGATTATTGAAGAAGACAAGGATTTTCTTGTTATCGCCTGATCCTTCACATCGTGCGCGGGCGCCATAAGAAGAATAACGGGAGAGTGAACAATCCACTTCATCACACATGGAGCGATTGGTGGTATATTTAGCTTTAAACGCGTCAGGCACGTCACGTAGGTAGGCCACAGCATGATAATGAGAAGGTGCGGATTTGATAGCAGCAGCATTACCATCGGGGGATGGTCGTCGTTCTGGAATATTAAAGGCGACAGCTTTGCCTTTACCACTGGTGTTAGAGGGAGCATGGATAGAAGCGTCAACAGTTTCAACAGGGATGGTAATATTTTGAGGAGATGTAATCACTTGGACAGGAAGACCAGAAGGAACGGTAGAAATAAGGTTGGGAGCTGAAGCAGGAGGTGAAATTATATCAACATTCATAGCGTCATCAGAGACAATACGTGAACGTTTGTTAGACGTGCCAGCTGTAGTCGTGGGAGACAAAGGTCAGTCTCCAGAAACAGTAGAAGTAATAGGATGCAGTGGCGGTGGAATATCCGGGTTAATAACAGAAGGAGCTGGAGGTGTAGTCATAGTATAGAGCTCAGTAAAGACGAAAGCAACTGTGGAAATATTAGTATTTTGAACGAGCACTTTGAAATCTTCAAACGAAAATTTCAAAAATAAATTTTATTAGTATTTTCAAAATTTCAGGAAAGAGTTGCAATGATCCTCCTATATTTGGTGATTATGAGCAAACAGTCTTATGACTTTATCTTTTATTAAAATTTTTAAACAAAAAGTACAAAACTCAAATCGAACAATATTACAAATAAAATATAGAAAATTAAACATAAAAAATAAAAAGAACTAGCTTCACGATTCATACAAGTAAAGAAATCTAAACAAAATAAAATTAAGTAAAGAAAAACTAAACTATTACAGAAACGCATACCCCAACTTTACCCGAAGGCCAGTGTGAGTCAACTATCCAGCATATCCAAAGATCCAATCCGTTACCAAAAAGAAATCCTAAGTAGAGGCTGAACTGTTAAGCGGCGCCAAAATCCAAATGCGAAATCCAAGATCCCCCATGGATTATATAAGAGGAAACCCAAGAAATAAGGAAGCTGTCGCCAAGAAAGGTGTCGAAATTGCAGGAGAAATTTGCGAGAAAGGATAAGAAGTAGGAGAAGGTCCAATAGCGGACGATTTCATTTTATTGGTAATGCCTTGAGCTGATTCCCAATGATGAAAGAAAACGGAACGGCACAACCAGATTTGTACGTAGAGATCAAAATGAAAATCATGTAAAGGTGTATCAAAAATAGAACAAATAGTGGATGATGAAAAATATGTTCCAAGAAAACTAGTAAAAGACATCGGTATAAGTACACGTGAAAGTCGCAGAAAAGAATATGAAGGAGGGTCACAATCCCAACAATCCATAGCCATAAATTCCACAGCAAAGGAGTCCAGTAAAGATTTCAAAGGAGTCGCGGAGAGAAATTTTCCAAGACAAACGGTTCTAAGGTCCAGCAGAAGTGTTTTAAAAGTATTAAAAGGACTAAATTCAGGTAAAATATAAGGACAAGTCCATAAGTGGTCTAAAGTCTCAGGAGAGGAGTTGCACTGAGGACAGAGCCAACTCAGATCATAGATATGAGGCTTTCGTCTTTGAAGAGTTGTGAGTGTCGGAAGCATATCCAATAAAATCTTGATACGGAAAGCACAAAATTCAGACCGGCCATTTCGATGGGAGGATTGTAATTGTTTATTATTAAAACAAAATTTGGTACAAGCCCAATCAATATCTGAAATAGAGGAATTAATATTGAATCTTGGTAATAAAGCAAGAGTCAAAAGACTCTTGGCGTCAAAAATATCTCCAATGAATTTCCGGATATTCATATCCACAGGTAAAGAATTAAATTGTAAAATGCAAGGAGCCAAAAATGCAGGTGAAATAGAGGAAAGACGTGAGTCTGTATGAGCAGCTTTCGCTAAGTCATCAACATGGTTATTCAAGGAATCGTCAGCGTGAGCAGGAACCTTGATTAAAGTAACTTCCAGATTCTTTTGTGAGATAATAGCTAGTGCCGAAGACCATAGGAGGTGGTTGAATTCTTTAAGCATTTTAGGAATGAACGGCGCATCCACATACGTAGACCATAAGGAAATTAATTGAGCACAATCAGTAGTGACAGTAATCTTGGAATACCGAGGGAGGGAGTCCAATCCATGCAATAAGGCAAAAATTTCGGAACGCAATGCAGAGGGAAAGAGGGAAGGAATGGTATTATAATGAGATTCAAGAAGAAAACCATCAGAATCGATAGCAGTCCATGCATAAGCCATCAAAGGTGTCGGATGACTAGAAGGAGGAAGGAAGGATCCATCAATATACAGTGTAGACACCGAAGAAGGAAGTTGGATATCAGAAATCCTAGACACTTAGTTAAGCATAGGAGGTAGCCGAACTGGAGCAAAAAGATAAAATAG